ATATCTTCAGAGTTAAGTTATCTTTCTAAAAGTCGAGTTAAGTTTTCAAGCTTATTTATTCAAAGAAAACATATGAGGTTCCCCGAGACAATTATATGCGATAAGAAGGTGATTATGAGATTATAAGAATAAGAGTACCAATGAGCCAAGATAGGCTAAGTTCTTGTTATGGCCTATTATGTGCATTCAAAGTTCATATCATACATGGCATATTATGCATGGACTTCGAGCTATAATCGGAGGTAAGGGGCCTATTTGCCCGAAAAACTATATATATTGTACAGATGGCCACGGGTTGGCAATATGATACCGGTTAGCTACCAGGAGAGACTGACATTGCTAGAATTTGGTTGGGTATGTCATGCATTTGCATCAATATATATGTATTCACGACATACGCTTACACAAGCATACCATGCATAATTGATTACTATGAGGTCGGATGTCGGTCATGGAGGCTATAAATGTTTCAGTGTCAGGTGGTTTCACTATTATTTTTTTTACATTAGCTATGTATGATTCTACTTTCTGCCTTACATACCAGTACATTTTTATTCGTACTGATGTCCCGTTACCTGGGGACACTGCATTTTTATTTCGTGCGTGCAGGTCTAGGTAGGGACTCTGATCAACCCTTACACTAGGATTTCGAGGTTCAGCTGTGAGTTGGTAAGCTCCACCTCTTCCTGGAGCTTTCATAGGATAGTTACTTTTGTGTACAGTTTGGGTATAGTCGGGGCCTTGTTCTGACAGTGCTTATGACACTCTTAGAGGCTATTGTGGACACAGTATTCTGGGTTTCTTTTTGTAGCTTTCAGTATCCAGCCCATAGTCTTGACATGTATATATATGTGTGTAGGCATGTATGTCTCCAATCGCGACCTCGTCGGCCAACTAGTACTTTATTATTTTGGCTCATCTACCTTTGTTTATATGGCTTATTATTATTCAGGTCATGACTTTAACGGTCCAGGCTTAGTATTTCAGATGTTGTGCTGCTCTATCTGTTGGGCCCCAGTTTAGTTAGCTAGTATGTTTAGTGGCTAACTCGATCGAATACAGTATCGAGTGCCAGTCGTGCCTCCTCTAGTTTGGGGCATGACAAACTTGGTATCAGAGCAGGTCGTGTGCCAGTGAGTCCACAAGCCGTGTCTAGTAGAGTCTTGCTTATGGGTGTGTTGTGCACCACACTTATAATCAGGAGGCTATGAGGCATTTAGGAATGGTTATGTTTCTTTCAATTAATAGATCGTGCTATAAAGCGAAGTTATAAGAACGTATGAAATCTAAATCGTGCTTTGTGTTTCTTATCTTATAGGCTACCTATGCTCAGGAGATGGCACAACGAGAGATAGGTATGAATCCGGGGGAAGGTGCCAGTCGTTCCCCACTGGGTCAGAGGGATAGATTTCCCTTAGAGGCACACATTGAGTCTCCAGTACCCCTAGTTTCAGCTTCCCAGCACTTGTTGGAGCCTAGGGAGATATAGTACCGCTAGCCTCACCAGTTATATTAGTACTTGAGGCAGCTAGAGACACAGGACCTCTAACACCTGTTGTTCCGCCATCAGAGACTGGGGAGCAGGGGATGAGGGAGGCAGTTCAGTTGCTGACTAGGATGGTTTTTATTCATGAGCGACAGCTAGAGTCGGGAGCAGATGCCCGGAGAGATCGGACAGGAAGCTCGACGGTACGAGAGTTTCTCCACTTGTCCCCTCCATTATTTACATGATCTAGTTCCACTGAGGATCCCCAGGACTTTATAGACCAAATGTATAGAGTATTGAGAGTGATGCATGCCTCCGTCACCGAGGCTGTGGAGTTGGCTTCTTTTCGACTACGTGATGTAGCCGTCCTATGGTATGAGTCATGGGAGAGATCTAGAGGACCTGATGCTCCGCCAGCAGAGTGGGAGGACTTCTCTAAGGCTTTTTTAGCCTATTATTTGCCACGGGAGGTTCGGGAGGCCCGTCTTGACCAGTTTCTTAGCCTGAAGCAGGTGGATATGAGTGTGAGGGATTATAGCCATAAGTTTAATTCTTTGGAGAGGTATGCACCAGATATTGTACGTACCATGAGGGCTAGAGTTCATCATTATGTGGATGGTTTGGGGGATCATCTGATTAGAGACTGTAGGGTAGCATCCCTATCGGATGATGTAGATATTTCCCGCATACAGGCTTTCGCTCAGACTACAGAGGACCTTTCCCGTCGGATTCGTGATACTCGTAGGGATAGGTAGCAGAGTAAGAGGGATCGTACTACGGGGTCTTATAGGGAGCCACGAGGTGATTTCAATCCCCCACTCCATCGATATCCACCTCGATTAGCAAGTAGTTTCCCATTACAGATGCATGGCCAGCGGTTTAATCGTTATATTCAGTCAGGACCGGGACAGAGCTCAGGCTAGCCTGAGGGCCGTCGACAGGAGCGTTCTGCACAAATGAGACAACCTATTCCTCCATGTACTCAGTGCGGTAAGCTGCACACCGGGCAGTGTAGACAGGGTTCGAGTGCATGTTATCATTGTAGGCAGATAGGACATTTTATTAGCCGGTTCCCAGGGTTAGGCAGAGGTGCACCAACTCAGCCTTCAGGATCCACAGCAGCCTCTTCGCCCTCAGTCCGTGTTCCCCGACCAGGTCCACAGTCTACTCAGGGACGTGGTAGGGGGAGAGGTTGAGGAGACACCTCAGGTTCTAGTGGTGGCCAGAACAACTTTTATGCACTCACAGGCCGACAGGATTCAGAGGCATCCCCAGATGTTGTCACAGGTATATTGACAATACATTCTCATGCCATTTATGCATTGATAGATCCCGACTCTACATTTTCATATATTACTCCATTTATTGCTGGTAAGCTTGACATTAGATCTGAGTTGTTGCCACAGCCAGTTGAGGTATCTACGCCAGTTGGCGACTCTATTGTTGCTAATCATGTCTATTGAGGTTGTACAATGTTAATTAATGACCGTCCAACTTTTGTTGATTTATTGGAATTGGTTATGCTAGACTTCGATGTCATTATGGGTATAGATTGGTTGGCAGCTTGTTATGCTAATATTGATTGTCGTACAAAGTTGGCCGATTTCATTTTCCGGGTGAGCCTGTCCTTGAATGGAAAGGTAATGTAGCCACGCCCAAGGGTAAGCTTATTTCATACCTTAGGGCTCGGAAGTTTATTGCTAAAGGCTGTATATACCATCTGGTTCATGTCAGGGATATAGATAAGGAGCCAGCGACTCTTCAATCGGTTCCTACTGTGAATGAATTCCCAACAGTATTCCCTGACGAGTTTCCAGGAATTCCCCCCGAAAGGGAAATTGATTTCACTATAGATTTGCTTCTTGATACGCATCCTATATCCATTCCTCCCTACAGAATGGCTCCTGCAGAGCTAAGGGAATTGAAGGAACAACTGAAGAATTTGCTCGATAAAGGCTTTATTAGGCCAAGTACATCCCCATGGGGTGCTCCGGTGCTCTTTGTTTGAAAGAAAGATGGCTCCTTATGGATGTGTATTGACTACAGAAAACTAAATAAAGTCACTATCAAGAATAAGTATCCTCTTCCACGGATTGATGACTTGTTCGACCAGTTACAAGGTGCCAAATTCTTTTCGAAGATCGACTTGCAATCCGGTTATCATCAGCTACGAGTCAGGGATATTGATATCCCAAAAACAACATTTAGGACGAGGTATGGCCATTTTGAATTCCTTGTCATGTCTTTTGGGCTTACAAATGCCCCAGCAGCTTTTATGGATCTTATGAACCGGGTATTCAAACCATTCTTGGATTAATTTGTGATTGTGTTTATTGATGATATCTTGATATATTCATGATCGGAAGCCGAGCATGCGGACCACTTGCAAGCTGTATTGCGGACTCTCCAAGACTACAGGTTATATGCTAAATTCTCTAAATGTGAATTTTGGCTAACTTTTGTAGCTTTTCTTGGTCATGTTATTACCAGCGATGGTATCAAGGTTGATGGCCAAAAGATTGAAGCTGTGATGACTTGGCCGAGGCCCTTGAATCCAACAGAGGTTCGTAGCTTTTTAGGCTTGGCAGGGTATTACCGAAGGTTTGTGGAAGGAATTTCCTCTATTTCTGCACCATTGACGAAGCTGACACTTAAGGGAGCTAAGTTTCAGTAGACTGAGGCATGTGAACAAAGTTTTCAGGAGCTAAAGAAAAGGCTTACGACGGCACCTGTCTTGACTCTTCCGGATGGCACCGAGGGTTATGTTGTCTATTGTGATGCCTCGAGAATTGGCCTAGGTTGTGTTCTTATGCAGCATGGTAAGGTTATTGCGTATGCCTCCAGACTGTTGCGGAAACATGAACAGAACTATCCTACGCACGATCTTGAGTTAGCCACAGTTGTCTTCGCCCTAAAGATTTGGCGACATTATCTATATGGGGTTTATATTGATGTTTTCACCGACCACCAGAGCCTTCAGTATTTATTTAAACAGAGGGAGCTGAACCTACGACAAAGAAGATGTCTAGAATTATTAAAGGACTATGATGTTGATATTTTATATCATCCTGGTAAAGCTAATATTGTTGTTGATGCTCTTAGCCGGAAGTCCATGGGCAGTCTAAGCCATGTTAAAGTTAATAAGGTCAAGATGACCAATATCTATGCTAGCTAGCTAGTTTGTAGGTGCGTTTGGTAAATGCAGAGGGTGGACGCATTCTCGTTCAGAATACGGAAAAATCTTCTTTTGTTACTGAAGTGAAAGAGCGACAACACGAGGATCCTGAGCTTATAAAACTGAGGGAAAGTATTCCACAGCAGCGACAACCTTTATTTGAGCTAATTGGAGATGGAGTCCTTAGATACCAGGGCCGCTTATGTGCACCGACAGTCGGAGAACTCCGCGCCAAGATTCTTTTGGAGGCCCTATGCAGTTCACCCCGGAGCGACAAAGATGTATCAGGACCTTCAACAGATCTATTGGTGGAATGGAATGAAAAAAGATATCGCGGAGATGGTAGCCCAATATCCTAACTACCAACAAGTTAATGTTGAGCATCAGAGGCCTGGAGGCCTAACTCAGTGTATTGAACTTCCATTATGGAAATGGGACATGATAAATATGGACTTCATCACCGGTTTGCCTCGCACTCCACAGAGGTATGATTCTATTTGGGTAATTATTGATAGGCTTACAAAATCTGTCATTTTCTGCCAGTCAGGACGACATATTCAACCGAGGATTATGCCAAGCTTTACATTCGGGAGATTGTGCGCCTTCACGGGGTACCGTTATCTATTATCTCTGATCGAGGGGCTCAATTTACAACACATTTTTGGAAATCTTTTTAGAAGGGTCTAGGCACGTAGGTAAATCTTAGCACAACTTTTCATCTGCAAACTGATGGACAGGCAGAGCATACTATTCAGACAGTTGAGGATATGTTACGTGCCTGTGTGCTAGATTTTAAAGGAAGTTGGGATGATCATCTAACTTTTATTGAGTTCGCTTATAATAACAGCTTCCAAGCTAGTATTCATATGGCCCCTTACGAAGCACTATACGGGCGGAAGTGTAGGTCGCCGATCGGTTGGTTCGAGGTCGGGAAGCAGAGTTACTAGGTCCTAATTTAGTCCAGCAAGCAATGGAAAAGGTAAAACTTATTAGAGACTGGCTGCGTACAACACAAAGTCGGCAGAAGTCTTATGCAAATGTTCGACGACGAGACTTAGAGTTTGATGTAGAAAATTGCATTTTCCTGGAAGTAACGCCTATGAAGGGCGTCATGCGATTTGGAAAGAAGGGTAAGCTCAGCCCTAGGTATGTTGGACCGTATAAGATTATCCGGAGGATTGGTAGGGTGGCGTACAAGCTTGATTTGCCTTCAGAATTGGGAGCAATCCATCCTGTGTTTCATGTATCTATGTTGCAGAAGTGCATTGGAGATCCTTCACGTATTATGCCCATTGAGGATATTCATATTGCTGAAGACTTATCTTATGCAGAGGTACCAGTAGCTATTTTAGATCGGCAGGTAAGAAAGCTTCGAACTAAAGAAGTGGCTTCCGTGAAAGTGTTATGGCGAAATAACAACATCGAGGAAATGACCTGGGAAGCTGAGGAGGAAATGAGGAAGAAGTACCCCTACCTATTTACGACTTAAGGTGAGTCACATTTAAATAATTGGCAATTATTTCTTTACAACACTTAATTGGATTTTAAATGACTAGAAAGTGCAATTTAAATTTCTTATTGCGAGATAGCTATACGAAGCCTAGTAGTTGGAATCTTCAGAATTTGATTTATGCTTTGCAAATGTAACAAATATAGCCTCGAAAATAACGTATTAGCGGAAAAAAATGAAACCAAGGAATTGACTTGACCCATTCGCAGATGAATGTTCTTTAGGGGGGGAGACTGTGAGACCCCATGTGATTTTTTTTTTCTCTTCTCTTACGTAATATACGTAATGTGGCGTGGTTATATTAGGTATATATAATTGGGTGTAGCACATTGGGAGAATAAGACTGAAAATGTGTGGTAATATCAAGGAACTAACTAAAGTTTTAGGTCAAAGGAATCCTTTAAACAAAGGTTAATGGTTAAAGAAATGGCTCGGGTAGCACCCCGCGCGTTCGGAAGGTTTAAGTTAACTTGCACCTGTGGGATGAGACTAAGAGTGTCTAACATGCTAAGAATAGTGTGTTATGAGGTATTATAATATCACACGGGTCACATGTTAAGTTTTGGAGTCAAGCAAGTAGCGAAATAAAGGTCGGCAAAGGTTATCGTAAATTTCTCTAATAATTTTTTTAAACTTTAGGTCAAATGTATCAGATTAGTTCTCCCAATATATAATGTGTTATGGGACCCACAACCTATCTAATCGAAGTTCTACAAGCCTAGTTCGCAACCAAAAATACCTCATATCAAACAGACATTGCAGTAAAAAGTTATGACTGTTTTACCCCAGACTGTCCAGGCTGAAATCGGGTCGCGAACCGAGTCGGGTCAAACAAGTGGTATAAGTCAGCAAATCCGACTTGTAAGACACCAAAACATTTCATTTTTGTCCCAAAATAGTGAGGGAGCTGAATAGAGGGTTCCATGGTGTTCTTGAGTGATTAAGGTACGTTTTTAACGATTTCTACCATTAAAGTTTGTCCCCGTGCCTAGAAACTCAATCTCTACGCTTTACAATCATTTCCCCCCTTCTATTAGCTGTGTTTGGAGATATTTTTGGAAGATAGGAATTTGTTGTTCTTGCTGGTTCTTTAGGCTTTATATTTGATTTTCCAAGGTAATCATCTTGGGATTCTTTTATGATCGTTTTTACAAAGTTCTACGGACGTTTCGTCAAGTTAGGGCCATATGGCAAATCTGCCGATTTAAACTCAATTATGAACTGTTTATTGGTGCGTATAAGCTGCATATATATAGTGTTTGAGAAGCTTAGTACGTAAGGAACAACTTTCGTGAAGGAACTACAGGAATTCAGACGTTCGTTGGAAAGGTATGTTAAGGCTAAGCTTTGTCCTTCCTTTTTGCACGAATTCTTGGAAATTCCTAAAATGTCAAATGTGATATTTTAATATTCTATTGCTAGAAAGACCTTCTATGAAAGGCATTGGGATCATAGCAGAAGTATTTTCATGATGCTATTAGGTTGATATTCCACTCGTTCGGATAATTAAGGTATTCGATATCTATATATGTCATTTTGTCGGTTTTCTTATCCATATGTCTATATATATGAATTCTTATTCGTATTTGGGTTGTGTGACTAAACAAAATAAAAGCATTTAGTATTTACGATCAGTCCTTCTTCTTTGTTAAAGTATATTTTAAAATCTCTAAAGTGACACATCGATTTTCAAAAATCTCAAATATAAATTTTACGTTTAAACTATTAAAACACTTGATTTTTGATATACTTTCCTTTACTAATTATCAAGAAATCAGGTATAAGGACTAAGTGAAGTACCTTAAGCTTTTTATGAACCTCTTCAGAGTTAAGTTATCTTTCTAAAAGTCGAGTTAAGTTTTCAAGCTTATTTATTCAAAGAAAACATATGAGGTTCCACGAGACAATTGTATGCGATACGAAGGTGATTATGAGATTATAAGAATACGAGTACCAATGAGCCAAGATAGGCTAAGTTCTTGTTATGGCCTATTATGTGCATTCAAATTTCATATCATACATGGCATATTATGCATGGACTTCGAGCTATAATCGGAGGTAAGGGGCCTATTTGCCCGAAAAACTATATATATTGTACAGATGGCCACAGGTTGGCCATATGATACCGGTTAGCTACCGGGATAGACCACCATTGCTAGCATTTGGTTGGGTATGTCATGCATTTGCATCAATATATATGTATTCATGACATACGCTTACACGAGCATACCATGCATAATTGATTACTATGTGGTCGGATGTCGGTCATGGAGGCTATAAGAGTTTCAGTGTCAGGTGGTTTCACTATTATTTTTTTACATCAGCTATGTATGATTCTACTTTCTGCCTTACATACCAGTACATTTTTATTTGTACTAATGTCCCGTTGCCTGGGGACACTGCATTTTTGTTTTGTGCGTGCAGGTCCAGGTAGGGACTCTGATCAACCCCTCCGCTAGGATTTCAGGGTTCAGTTGTGAGTTGGTAAGCTCCACCTCTTCCTGGAGCTTTCATAGGATGGTTACTTTTATGTACAGTTTGGGTATAGTCGGGGCCTTGTTCCGACAGTGCTTATGACACTCTTAGAGGCTATTGTGGATACAGTATTCTGGGTTTCTTTTTGCAGCTTTCACTATCCAACCCATAAACTTGGCATGTATATATATGTGTGTAGGCATGTATGTCTCCAATCGCGACCTCGTCAGCCAACTAGTACTTTATTATTTTGGCTCGTCTACCTTTGTTTATATGGCTTATTGTTATTTATGTCATGACTTTAACGGTCCATGCTTAGTATTTTAGATGCTATGTTGCTCGATCTGTTGGCCCCCAGTTTAGTTAGCTAGTATGTTTAGTAGCTAACTCGATCGAATACAGTATTGAGTGCCAGTCGTGCCTCCCCTAGTTTGGGGCGTGACAATGATGCTCAGCCCAAAATATTATTTGAAATATCATTTAATGTATTAAAATAAAGTAAACATGCCTGAGTTATGAAAATAGTAGAGTATAGCATGACTGAGTACAAGTTTAAAGTCAAAACAGTGAGGGAATATCAATAAAAATCCTCTAAGGGTTCAAATAGTTGGCACGTGGCCCAAATATCGCGTTCAGCCCAAAACATGATGTTCACAAATAGATTTAAGTCAAATACACGGTAAAATAGTCATTCAGGACGAACTAAGTCATAATCCCCAACAGTGCATGACCCCACGCTCATCATCGAGCATGTGCGTCACCTCAATATAGCACAACGATGTGCAATCCAGGGTTTCATACCCTCATGACATCATTTACAATTATTACTCACCTCGATCCGGTCCAAACTCTAGCCCGCAATGCCTTTGCCCTCACGTATCGAACTCCAGATGCTCCAAATCTAGCCACAATCAGTACATAACCATTAAAATATGCTAAGGGAACAAAGCCCACTCGAAAATATCCAATTTACATAAAAAAATCATGAAATTGCTCAAACCCGAGCCCCGGGCCCACATCTCGGATTCCGATAAAAGTCAAATCAATAGAATTCTCATCCTCTCACGAGTTCATACATATCAAAAGTACCAAAATCCAACCACAAATGACCCCTCAAATCCCAAATCCTAAGTCTCCAATTACAAGCCTTAGTTCTTCAATACTAGGATTAAATTCCATGATTAATTAGGTAGAATTCACACAAGAATCGATTATTGAGTTCAAAAATCTTACCTCCAGGTATTATCTCTTGAATCCCTCTTCAAATCCTCTCAAAAAGCTCCAAAATCACCCAAAAATGGTGAAAGTTACCCCAAAATCGCGGACAATGGCTGTTTAAACATTCTGCCCAGGCATCAAAAACCTTCTTCGCGAACGCGGTCAAAGCCTCGCGTTCGCGAAGCACAAAAATTTGCTGACCATGAATTCCCTTTACGCAAACGCGACCTCCAACTCGTGAACGCGAATCGTCCGCTTTCCAATCCATCGAGAACGCGACCTCCTTGCACAAACGCGAAGCACAAAAGGCTGGGACCCCAGCTGCTCCCACTTACTCGACGCAAACACGACACAGGCCTCGCGAACGCAGAGAATCAAAACATCACAGCATCGCGAACGGGACACACAACACGCGAACGCGAAGGCAAAATTCGCAGCCTTAGAAAAACACCCTTCACGAACGCAGGTCCCTTACCTCAAACGCGAAGAACAGATCTTCTGCAATACAAAACTAGCAAAAACTGCCAAGTCCAAAGTCCAAAATTGATCCGTTTAACCATCTAAAACTCACCCGAGGCCCTCGGGACCTCAACCAAACATGCCAACATATCCCATAACCTCATTCAAACTTGTTCCAACCTTCGGAATGCTCAAAACAACATCCAAACACCAAAATCACATCGGATTCAAGCCTAAGAATTTCAAGAACTTCCAAATTTCGCTTTCGATCAAAAAGTTTACCAAACCTCATCCGAATGACCTTAAAATTTACACACACTTCACAAATGACACAACGGATCTATTTCAACTTCCAGAATTCCATTCCGACTCCTATATCAAAATCTCACCTATCAACCGGAAAACGCCAAAATCTCAATTTCGCCAATTCAAACCTAAACCTTCCACGAACCTCCAAAATGCATTCTGATCATGGTCCTAAGTCCCAAATCACCTACGGAGCTAACCAAATCATAGAAATTCTGATCCGAGGTCATATACTAACAAGTCAAATCTTGGTCAAACCATTCAAATTTCAAGCTTCAAACTGAGAACTATTTCTTCAAAATATATTCCGGTTAACTTGTAAACCAAAACCGGTGATTTACATAATTCATAATACATCACATGGGGATAGTCATGCCCGAGAACTGGCGAACAAAGTGCAAAAGCTCAAAATGACCGGTCGGGTCATTACAATAATATGTTGGATGATGGAGCTGGTGCATATAAACTTCCCGCGTATTATGTTGAAACTCCAGCACATTATGAAATTCCAACACATTATG